TTTATTGTATACTTAGATCTGTTGCTCATAGGTGCTTAATCAATAAAAGTACCATTCTGTGTATCATTACTAGGTTTTTTTTGTTGTTTAAAGGATTTGTTTATGAGTTCAGTTATTTTAGCTTTTGCCACTGTTTGGTCTTCTCTTCCATGTTTAAATGTTTGTAACATTGTATGTTAGTTAGACTACTTTATAACTTTTTTGTTCACTTTATTTGCATCATTATTTTTAAGACAATAGGTTGCAAGGTTAAATTCCTTTTTTATATATTACTTTTTAATTTATTTGGTAAAAAACCTTGATATACTCTTCGGTGGAACGTTTAAATAAAATCTCCTTTTATATATTAGCATTGTACTATACCAAAATGAAACTAAATAGTTTTAACTTTAACTTAAGTTCAGTTAAGTCTTCCAAAAAGAAAGCCAGAATTTAATTTAACAATTAGGTATATATTACTTGATATTACTGTTATATGCATAAGTTTGGTGCACTTAAATAATATCAAGTATAACCTAGGCAATAACGACAAACAGTCGCTTAATAATCTATATATATTATTTCGTCAAAGACGCCGTTTTTGTAAATTCTGAGTTCTACACTAATTTGTTTTGCAAATAATATTTTTATTCCGATTACGATTCCCAGATAAAGGTGAATACAGTCATTACCATGAAGCCTGATGCATAACACGACACATTCTTGATATTGGAGCTGCAATTGCTGTTAAAAATATAAAAGCAGTTCCATGGCGCCACATGACGTTGTTGACCGAGTATCAGGTTCCAGTACCACACGATACGATGTATACTGGCCAACATTTTTTAAATTCTGTAATTCGATCTCATTATTGTTTCCTTTATAGGTTACTCAGCCAGGATACTACACGAGATTTTGCGAAGGCGTGCTAACGGTCTCGGGTAACGGTAGCGTTCATTTACTATTCAACAGTGTCCACGTCGACATCGATACGTCGAATACGAATTTTTGTCCCAAAATCGCTTCTTTTCCTACATCCGGCCAGGATTTGCACTTAAAGAATTGTTTTTATTCTTAAAGCAAAACCATGTGCAACATACGAATTAGATACTTTCGATTTAGACATAAGCTTTAGTTGGGAATAGTATTCTTTGGTACTTTGCAATTATTTAAAAACACGCATTAGACTTACCTGTATAGTAACTAATGATTTTGGTTTAAAGATAACGACAATCTCATACATTGATGTAAGAATAAAAAGGTGGTATTTACTGTTGATCCATTTAGTCACTTTTACAGTTAAACAAAATACATTGTAGATTTTAACGAAAGTGAATAGTTACGCAAACAAATTTCCACTAAGTAATTTCAGTAGAGAGGTCTATAAAATAAGTAACAATACTTTACAAGTTACGTATGTATTGTTTACGAATACATAGGTTTTACCAAAAAGACGTGATTTAATTGATAAATACCTTAATAGTGACTAACAAGTGATTCACCAAATATATTTTATATTTTATAAAATTTAAAATAAAGTACATTCTGTAGTATAACAATAATTTGTTTTATAGAATATGACGGTATATTACTAACTAAGATTATTCATTCGAAGAATTATAACTATCAATTCGAAATATTCCTGAAGTGCTTTATTCAAAGCTTCATTTTATACAAAGATAATAATGGTATTGAGTAAATATAGTAAAAAAATATTGGCACATCATAATTTAAAAGTAAATCAGAAATAGTGTGCATAACATGTGCATATGTCTATGTGCTTTAAAATGCCACAGGTTCTTATAAAAAAGGTAGGTTAAAATTAAACTTTATTCAAACGCCTTATAAAAATTACCTTTGCCTCACGAAGCAAAAGCAAGGTAACTAACCTTGCTTGTCGGTATCGTAAAGATCAAAACAGTGTGGCGATTTCGAACGGCAACGTGAGTGGCATTCTTACTTATGTACCTAGTTTGATTTTCGAACTAGATCATTTTTTAAAATAAAATACAATTTATACAATTAACTTTGCAAGTTGTATGACTATTGTTTATTTATGGCGCTAATGGTGTAGAGGTTTCTAATGATTATGATTCCACACCAACTTTAGTTTTCCATTAAAATAATTATTTGTTCTACACTTCTTGATCGAAGAATCTACACTACTTTTTTGACAAAATACCTAGATGATACGAGAATATTTATAAAAATAAGTATAAATAGTGCGGGCACATATAGCATCACAAACAATCAGAGATAATAGCAATTTGGTTTTATACGTATGTTTCAAAGTATATTATATTATTACATTATATTAGAATTTTAGAATTATTACACTACCTAAGTAGGGCTTATCTATTCTTCATGATCTTTAGTGAAAAATATTTATATAAACTTGAATTTATACCGAAATAAATAAACTTATTTATATGCAAAGAACGAAACGTAAAATAATTGAAAAATACAAAAAATACTTCCATTAATTACTTACATAAATGTATCTATCTACATCAACTGCATAAAGCGAGTCCTAAACGAGCACATTTAATAATTGCCGTTCAACATAAATTATCTACATTCTATTCTAATATATGTTGGGTTCTTTAACTAGGTCTTCAACAGTAAAGTTATTTATATCGAAGTGTAAAAGTAAAACTGGAATGCGTTACGCGAAAACCGCTTTCAAATTGAATTTATTCTCGGCGTGTCTAATATTTCCTGCAAATATCTTAGTTGACTTCTTCTCTATACCAATCTTGATAAAATACTGTATTTTATTATTAATTCGTATCTATAATCAATTTAAACAAAGTGCAAAGAACTGAAAGCTTCGCTCACGTGCCTGTAATTTATAAATTATTCACCTTAGAAGGTGTCGCATCATCTATCTCGTTCATTTTTCATCAATCATATCATGTAAGAATGTGATGCATGACTTTTGCTGCTAATTAACTAAACTCACAATGACACGGTCCGTGTCAGTCTGATTTTGGACTTTATCACTCTTGGATTAATTGTTATAATTGTCGACACGGGTGCAGCGCTTGAATGGGCATTGTATGCGTAAACATTAACCAATGCCATGGGTACTCTTGAAGGTCACCGAAATCGTGCATTCACGTTGTACGCAAAATGTTGTTGATAAATTATTTCATTTACCTAATAATCTCAAAATAATAAAACTAAAACATTAAATTCACAAATACGAGTGTATCCGGATGGTTCATGTCTTTTTTTAAATAATTCAACATCGAAGGCGTGTCGACGTCATGTGACTCTGACATTTACATACGTACTAAAATTATACACAACAACAATATCCATTGACTAGTCACTTTAGGAGAATTGTGACGGTATGCATTGCGTAACGTCAATGTATACGAGCTATGAGGTTACATCGTTATAAAATCGTGGATTGAGCGTGTAATAGTGTTTTCATTATCATTTATATCGGTCGTGTCACAGCCGATTGAGATAGCGTGTGCCACTGCGCAGTTCGACCAAAAATGCGTAGTGCTCTGGAAATTTTAAAGAGAATATTTATGGGGGCACGAAGGCTACTTTATACGTCGTTCAACTATTTGTGTTTTCCTGTAAGCAGGACGTTTGCACAACAATGGAACATTATAGACTTTCAAATTATACGGCTATTTCTATGTAGACATTAATTTTTTTAAAACAGGAATTAATATCACTACATGAAAAGATTCCTATTTTCATGTAGGTGGATATTGTACCTGTGAGCCTAGCTTTGTATTTTTAAGTGCTTAAATGCCTAGACGGATAGTTTATAAAACTAAAAAACTTAGATACGTGTTCTACCTACCAGTAGAATTGCAAGGCCATCTCTTCTGGTTTAATCCCCGAGATACATAACATGTGTGTTTAACGTCAGTGATAGAAGTTATAAGATCATAATAAATGATAATATGAAAAACCAAAATAAAACTACACCATATTTTTCGAATATACCCATGTAACTATGTACGAGTACATGTATGCGTATTCCGTGTATTTATTATTTAATTTAATTATATATGATTTCATCGAATAAATTTTATGCGTTCGAAAATTAAATCTAGTTTTTTTTTCCTAATGGCACAGATTACTCTAATAACTGTGTTATTCTATGTATTTAATACAGAAGTTATCTGTTCTTTAATAAACTTCAAAACGATACGGTTTTTTTTAATGAATTAATGAAGTATGTTGCCAAGTCATAGGCTTTTAATATTTGGATTAAATTTAAACAAAAATATATAAAGTTGTATAGTTAAATTCACGTGGTTTAAACAAGTTATTTTATCAATAAGAACGAGATTATTGTAGAAGAAAATTACGTCACGTTACTAATGTGTAATTTGTCTAGCTTATTGTATGAGATATCATTTCAATATCAAGATGTAGTAGAGATGGCATGATGCCACCTTGTTGCAACTTAATATACTCACGCTAAATGATTCATTTTGAGGAATTGAAGGAATTTTCTAAAACACTTTCAGTCATTCGCTGTATACATATACCTAGTAAATATGTAATATACCTAGTAATATATCTTATAAATTTTTATTCAATGATTTTCTGAAAAAGCCTGTCATTATTGTTTGCCTGATTAAAACCAACATTGTTTTTTTTTATTTATGGCATTTTTTGCGTGAAACTAACACGGAATAAAAAACACATGATCCGTCTTTTGATTGCTGCTCCGAAGTAACATCTATGGAGGTAGTTGTGCTTTGCAGACGTTAACTTTAATCGCATAGATCTGCCGACCGAAAAAAAATCTAAAAACTCCTATTAAATATGAAGAAGTTTCCGGTTCATCTCTGGATATATCGATGACGATCGATTTATTTTGTTACTTATTTCTTCGCTAGTATGTATCACTATGCAAGAACTTAGTGTTTTTTCAAATTACTTTATTCATTGAAGGAGTTTTTGACGCACGTATATAAAATAGTATATTCGTTTAAGGATTATACATAAATTAATATACTAGGTGTGTATTATTTACTATATAGTCATTCCTGTAAATATAATTATTATTAATAGCAATACAACTGCTTTAGATTTGATAAGTACGTTACTTAACATTTAAATTCTTAAGTGCACCGTGCTCTATGCTTGTGTGCTTTCTTTTAAAAGCCGACATGACAAAAATACGAATTAAAAAAGAAAATGATCTTACCTTCCAACCCGCTGATGAATTACTATCTCCTTTATCTTTAAAATATGGCACATTCTGGACCATCCACTCGTAAATCTGTGACAACGTGAGCCTGTTGTCTTGAGCCGAGGTGATAGCCTGGGTAATGAGATCAGCATAGGAGAAGTTGCCCCAAGCATTTCGACGTGAGGAATTTTTCTTTGTGGCTGTAGGTAGAGGAGGCGCCCCTGAAACAATAGGATATTATGAAATATTTAACTTTATGAAGGTAGATCGAATTGCTATCTTTTAATTCCAATGTCGCTCAAAGTTAAATAAGCAAGCAGAATGTTATTTTTGTTACTTTGAGTTTTTATGAATATTTTTCAATTAGAGTGTACGAAAAATGTTATAAAACTTTTCCATAACTAAATAGTTTTAGAATGAATATCGCATTATTTTTTATTTACGGCAAGTATATTATAAATTATTTTAATTCTTAGGCTTGGAAATAAATTATAGCGTATTCAGCTTGTGATTAGCATTTTTCATACACAGGTATTACATTGAAATATGTAGTCTGTAATTGAATGAAAATAGAGGTGAGAATGCCTAATGACGCCATATGACGTCACGAACGTAACTTTGTGTGTGTGTTGTCTAATGTTAACTATATATATTTATCTACTTCTTCATAGTAACCTCTTTTGTATAATTTTTAATGGAATTTACGTAATAATTTTAATAAATAACGGCTATTTACATTCATATTATTTTTTGTTCAACAGCTGCTTATTTTCAAGGCCTTTATAGTAGAGACAATACGGATATCCGGCAACTGTCCGTTATCAGGCATTTTGTAGTAAATTACTATTCGGCTAGACACCGGACAGTAAGCAAGGACTCCACCCTTTACGGTATATTTAAGTTCTTCATTTAAGCCGTACATCAAATACATTCCCCATATTTTCTACACAACCATAATAATGGTACTTGAACCCAGAATAAATCCTGAAATTGTACGATTACAATTATATATTCCGTCCTTTTATTGACCATGAAAACTTGCTGTTGTTTTCATTTGCTACCTCATTAAAGCAATAGCAGAACGTGTCTTCCTTCAGTTTCACAAGAAACCGGACCATTATGTTCCTATTTCTGCTTTTTTAACCGATGTCAAAGAGGAACCGCTACTAGCGAAGCTTCAGTTACATTTATCCCACTTTAAGAATACTCTTCGTGTAGATATGTCTTCCTGATTCAATAATCCACATATAACTCAAAAGCATTTTATTCAGTTTTAGGTAGCAATCTATGCGATCAACAATATACGATCAGATATCTGACTATCCGGCCTTGAGGTGCCTTGATATTCGGTATTTGGTCCAAAAATATTTTTACTTTTTTATTTGGGAATCTCAAAAATATCAGTAAAATGCATATTAAGGTTAAGTTTTATATTATTCACATACGTCTGCCAAGTAAGTCCTACATAGACATTTCACTAAACAATTTATTTTTATAAATAAATTACAATAAATACAGTAACTGCATTAACCTAATTCAAATTTGAATCGTATTTCATTCCAAAAATCAAATAATAAGAAATTGTTTTAAGTGTAGAGCTCGATGATTAAATTTTTAAAGATTCTTTTGCAAATTTTATTAATCATAGAAACCTGTATTTTAATAGATAGTTTTTCAAATGGTTCTTTAGTCTATTGCAATTTATTACTAAAGTTTCAAATAAAAAATTATAATGTTCCATAAAACTACAATCAAACTGCTTAACTGTTATTATTTTTTTGTGCCGACAGACATCATAGCCCGCGCATTTCTTTTTTCGCCAAATTATTTTGGGTTTTCAATAGTATATTTCAGTGCATTTAAGTAATTATTGAATATATTTGATAGGTGTTATTATGTATTTTCTAAAAACCACACATTAAATATTATACCTAATAGTGTAATGTACAAACATCAACTGTATTGAAAACCTCGTTTTTTTTTATTATTTTACGGTTAAGTAATTAATGCAAACCAATATTGTTGTGCAAAAGAAATATGGTATATAGATTGAATTCGAATCAATCTATATACTTCGATTACTCGACTTCAGTTTTCAATTGTAATATCTCTACATACAAATACCCAGAGATACATACAAATACACAAATAGGTTTTTAATATGCTTCTACTTTTACAATTTCGAGATTACGGAGCTTGTATGTTTTATAAATTATTTAATTATATTTGTATATTAATAATTCCCTATAACTGAGATTTGGGGTAGCAACTTAACCATGCAATGCAGTATAAACTACGTGTATTAAACATACTACAAAACTATCTCATTAGACATTTTTTTCTTTTAAATTTTATTAGTTTTTTATTAAGAAAGATATCTTTGTAAATGTTGAAAATCAATATTCTATTATTACTCGTACTTATTGCTTCCTTAACACTAAATAGTCACTCGACTACTCAAAATATATTTATCGATTCCTTTATGTACACATACTTATGCAGTTTTCTATCATTTATATTATTTGATGAACATTTAAAAGTAAACTTTATTTTATAAAATCTCGCGTATAATTTCATAAAAACTATTTTGTTCTGCGAAAGCGCATCAGTTTCGAATGCCTTCGATTAATGATCTAGCTATACTAAAATTGTAGTAAATAATATATGATAAAAACGCATAATTATATTTATAGGTAAAAAATAACATTGAACGTCTTTTAAACATCGCTTATTAGGTGCACATTGAAAGTCAAGGAAATTTGGGTGCAATGGACCCGTATATGTAACTTATATTTTATAACTAGTTACAACATTCAATGCAACACATCATTTAAACGTAGTCTGTCAAGATCAATGTTGTGTTATTTAAAAGTGTCTGATACAATGTATGTAAGTTTTGTGCAAACCAATTTTTATTTGTTGCACAGTTTTGTTACAACTTTTGTACTTAGTATTAACATTTTTGGAATTTAATCTAAGCTTTGAAACTCTTGTTGCCATAAATAAAATTTTTACTTTAAAGCTTTTTAAGTAGATAAAGAAATAGATGAAAAAAATATGCTTATGCTAAAGTCAGTTTTATTTTTGACCTTGTTAGATCCTACCTACCACTCATTGTGTCCCTTAACAATGTCTGTGGTAATAAATAATATAAAATCCTTAAGGTTACAGTTTATTTCAAAGAAATTACTATAACATTTATTTTATTTTACTATAGATACCTAGACCTATTTATACTATTATTACTTGAGTCATGAGGAAAAAGCACGCTTGTTAAAACTAGACAACAACCTTAGTAAATATATTAAATTATAACCAAAACCACGATGTTATGTAATTAAATTTGCCCTTAATTATTTTAAAGCGTGTAACATGTCGTTAAGCAATTTTAATAACTATTGTTTTAACTCGAGAGTATTGAAATTAAAGAGACAAGCCCTTTAATTTCAGTACTCTCGAGTTATCATCAAGTAAACTAGGTAATGTTTATATTAATTCAATTCCAGTTTGAACATGAATTTTAATACGTGTGCTGTCTGGGTGGAACAGGTATTTTGATATACTTATATGTATAATTATATGCATATTTCGTATATTTTAAGTATAAGTACAGGAACAAAAAAGTGATATTGTACTTAGTGTTTTAGATTAAAAGACAGGGCCAGACTGACGGAATCTGTTTTTTTTAGATATAGGCTGCTAACGAGCAGACGGGTCTCCTGATGGTAAGTGACTACCGCCGCCCATGAATACCTTCAACTCAAGAGTCACAAATGTGTCACCGCCATTTGAAAACCCCCATAATTTAGGTTTGGGCACTCAGTGAAAAGCAACGAAACAATTGTTTTCTGGTGGTGAATATAATAAAATATATATGTATACGGTATAGTCTTTTGTGTGTCCTCCTACTGTTTCTTTTTATTAATTTATTTAAAACTTAATGCACATGTTGTACAAAGGTGGACTTACTCTCGCAGTCGACCTGAAGGTCGGTGTAGAAATATGATGAGGTAGGTGCAAAGATAAAGTGTTAAATTTGTGGTAGTTCAGAGTAGTTTGGTAAATGAGAGATAAACCTACATTAGATATAACTAATATGAATAAATACATACACATATTATTATACTTACATAGAAGTACATATATACAATACATACACACTATATAAACATACACATACATAAACATTCTTTTTCTTGTCTGTTTGGTTTTTGTTGTTTTATATATTTATGTATAAAATTATTAATATGCCTTCTATTGTCATGTGATTTAGGATACACGGCTCTAGGGACACAGAGTGGATACAAAGAACACAGGATTCTATGTAAAGCGGATAAAAGTTAAATTTTAATAAGACTTTTTGGACTATTGAGCGAGTTTATTGGCATCATCTAATGTAACCGTTTTTTCGAGAAGTAAAGTTTTTCCAAATTTATACTTATTTATTTATTATCTTTTTGTTCACAGTCATATATAACTACATATCTACTTGGCTTTAGTTGGTGGCTCTCAAAGTAAGATTTTATAAACGAAAAAAACTATCACCAGTTCTGTTCGGTGGTTTTCAAGATTAGTTCGAATATAACCAACAGTCCACAAATAATATGCAATGTGTCGAATATTGCATAGTATTTCTGGACTGTTGTTGTTTCCATTGACGAGTGAATGAAATAGCGACCACCTCTATTCATCGATTCCAAGTTTCTGCTTATGCGTACGAATATAATTATCATGATAAATAAAGTATATAATTATTCAGGCATTCTAGGGTAATTTTAGTTTGGTTCTTAGTATTTTTTCTCAGATCCTTTTTCGAAAACTCGGGGGGAGGGAGGGGGTCGGCTTTGTTGGTTCTTAGTGGCACTTTAACGATTCCTAATTTTTAATTATCATTTTTTTTCATATATAAATAATCGTGAGTTAACAAGTTTAGTTTTAATTAACTTACTATAGGTTTGTGTACGTTCCTGTGTTCAAAAAATTTCTGTATCGATTGAATATTTTTTAACACGTCAATCCTTAGTATTTTTGTTTAAAATTAAGAGGGCTAGTAGTATCTATTAACTATTTACAGCTTTTGTATGCTTCCGTAGTATTTAGTTTATTAATGTTTAAGGTTAATTTATTTTGTCCAGACCCCCAAATAATTTGCAATCACCAAAACTGATGGTCAAGAAGACCTAAAGATGTGTACTGTAGCCGCTCATGTACTCGGCTGCAGGTTAAACCCTATTCTTGATCTAAGATATGTATTAGTTATTGATTAAGCCGTCATTTTCTAAATCGGGTCTTAAACAGGTCTTAGGTTTGAGGTCAGAAACATGAAACAAAGACAACTCTTCCTTTTTTGTAGTAATTTGAAATTGTGGTTTATTTCGTTCCCCATTTTTTAGGTGTTATTGTTGGGTCAGGAACAGTATCAATATTCTATGACATCTAAAGTGATTACCGTATACTATGCAAGGAAGCACATTCTTATTAAAGTGGTTTCTAGGAATCTACAATAGGCTCAGGTTTTAGCACATGTATTAATATAAAAGGAAGTTTTCCTTATACACATATATACGCTTACTGTACTGTAATAGTACACACATAATTGTTTTGGATATACAAAGGTGAGAACATTGTTTTTACACATATCGAGTTGCCTACTAGAAGAAGAAATTACATATAATATTGAGCAGATCAAGTTTGCTATTGAGAAAGAGAAAAAAAGGAAAATCTATTCATACCTAAATGATATCAATTTCACAGACTCCAATGTGCTTCCATATGGTAAATTGTAATAAACTGTATTCTATCCTATATAATATGTTTATGTTGTTTTACAAATTTCAATGGATCGAAACGGGTAGTACGACTTCTTAGTACGTAAGTTCTTTTTCTTAAACGACATTCTTTTTAAACAACTCAAGCGTTAGGAATATATCCTGTGTCGCGGGGTACTTTACAAACATACATGTAAAAAAAACACCCAGACTCAGAACAACAATTTATTGATCACACAAATTGCCGTCCCGTGTGGGGATCGAACCCACAACACTCAGCGCAGTAGAAAGCGGCTTGGCGACTGCTTACACCACTACAACACAACTAAGTTCCCAAATCCGGTTACAAATCACAGGTCTACAGTAACAAACAAAATATTACAGAAAAATAGATAACCTTCATTTTTTTTAGTCGGTTAACAAAATTTAAATTTATCTACGAATATCTTAGCTACCTGAATAATATTTCTAAGGCAAGTGGTCTTATTAGAATTACAAAGGGTTAAAAACAAAGCTAGTGGTGGCTTTAATCAGTGTTTACTTAATTTTATTACAAATTGTTTGATAATACAGTTCATTATTGGAAAGCATGACGTGTTGTTTGGTTACAACCTAGTCGATGAGTCGCTATCCTATATCGTAGGTGTCGGCTTATTTAATTTGTACTACGCAACATATTTTGATAGACTTGTTATTGTGATTTATTTGTATACAACGTGTACCTACAGGGAAAGTCAGTTGACGGATAACAACCAGATAAATGCACAGCTTACCCGCCTGCCTATAACAGGTAAATAATTGGAGTTTTATTTTTATTCATATCAGTCAGTGTACGTAATAAGCAACTCGTGTTTTTATTGGATTCTCACCGAGACGCGAGTGGTTTCGGACAACGTACGTGGGTCGACCTAAATAGCAGAGCGTATCGTGACTTCGACCTAAAAAACTATCGCGTAGTTAGACAAATGGTATTTACCACTCAGATTCTGATTAGAGTTCTTCTTAGAGCCGGTGTCGTCAGCCGCTTCTGCGTAGTTGTCTGGCCTTGGTAGCGGCCACGTGTTGGATCGCGCGCGCGTCTGCGGCTCGAACCCGACCTCAGCCAGCTCGCCTAGAGGCTCCAATTCTAACTCAGCCCCCGTCGTAGATGACCACGTACTTTGATAACCACTCATGATGCCGGCTTTATCTAGTGCAGTGGAATTTTTCGACAGTTAGGTGTGTCAGAATGAGCGCTCACCGGCGCGTGCCGATACCGGCCATTAGCATCTCAACGCGCTCTTTTTATTTTTTTTAACCGATTTCTTTATTTCCAGAATCGTCGTACCCGGATCGCGAGCTGGAGAGGTTATCTGTCTTGTGCTTATCGGCTCTGTTATTCGAAGCCAATAACATGTGGCGTCTCACTAACGTTCATAAACAGCGATGTGCGCAGAGACCGTCGGCCGTCGGGCCGCTCCCGAGAGGCGATTTTCGCTAAATATAAGCGCGAGCGAGGCGGGGGCGGGGCGCACACCACGTGAGCGACTACGCGCCGATTTTCCAATTCATCACTGGCGGGCTAGAGACGCGATAACCTTGTAACGTGGCTCGAATCGGCCAACAACGGGTATCGTATCGCCTAAGGTCGCCACCGGCGTCGAAGGTCCCAGAGAATAAGTAAAATCAGGCGTTTTTCCGAGTTCAGATCACACTTCAAAACTTTTCCACACTGATAAGAGCTATCACTGGACTTCTCGCAGGACTTTTAACAAACTTTTCACGATTCAAGGGCTTACTTAGAGTGAGAGGCCACACAAAGTTGTTTTATTACAGTCCACGCGGTTAGCGATAGTTTTTACTGCGTAATAAGCAGAGTAGTGCGCGCGGCGCGGCAGTTCGTCCTCGGCCGCGAACGGTCTAACGTACACTGAAGTGACTGAACCGAGTCGCGAGGCGCGTCGCTCGTGCAAATTCCGCTCAGCGGGCGCCGCGCTGGCCGCGGAGAGGCGGAGGGCAGCGGCGCGAGGCGCGGAGGGCGCTGATACAGAGAAGTGGCGTCGTATAACCGCGGACCAAGCAATAGCCATTTCGGACACTCGCCGCTAATTTGAAAAAGTTTTAAGATCTGATAGGACAGTTTAACTAGGTGAGAGTCTGAAGCGTTCCTCAGCTATCAGCCAGCATTCGAGAAATAACTAATTTGCTAATAGGCGCGAACGCGTACAAGCATGCGGGTATACACGAGGCGAGGTTGTTGCATGCTTCATTGTTTACATACAATTACTTGTACGGCCGAGTAGTGAGCTTTGTGTTCGTTTTACAAGGTTAGAAAAGCGTTTTTTTTAAACTTTAGATAGTAGAATTTGCTAAGTTTATTTTTTATTCTCACCATCCCACATGACGGGGGCCTGCAACAAGGCCGCAATAGTCGTATTAGCAGTCTTCCAATTAAGCCATTATTGTAAATCTACGGACCATGTCCACCTTACCATTTTTTTTTCACAGATTTAATAAAAAAAAATCCTGATATAGCGTTCCTGATATTTCGTGTTATGTGCAATGATAAAAGGTTTTTTCAACCTTCACAAGTGACGGCCATTGCGGCTCTGTTTCCCGAAATAAACTTTGTTTACAGATTCACAATAAACATTGTTGTACAAATATTTTAAACTTTCACTATTAGGTAATAGTAATTATAGTTTTCTTCTATGTAATAAAAATATGTCGATAAACAACATGTAAGTATGCCCTACCTATCTACTATTTTTTTCCCATTAGTTTATAAATAGCAAATGTTTGTTTATCAGTAGAAAATGCCTGCCAGATAACATTGGTTAAGTTGGTGTTATGATATCATTATTATTGTGAGACAGATCACAGAGGTGCATCTTGAAGTTGGGATGATAATCACGCATCGATTTTTAAACTGGACACGGACTAAATAAGGTTGCCTGGAAGAAATTGCATTTAGCAATAAGGCCGCCCTTTGTACACTCGATATTTGATCGCTGTGTTCCTTTCTTGTAACTCTGTAATTTAGTGTGCAAATAAAGAGTTTTCTATCTATCTATCTATCTAAATAAGGAAGACTCAATGCATGCTTGAAAAATAGATTTCTATGCATGCCAGAACTAATTTACGCAGTTGCAATGAATGCCAAAGTTAGTGTCGAGAATTATCATGTCATAGAGATGGAGTAATTTGACTTTGTCGATATAAAGACGCTTATTGAAGGCTCAAATGGGACTCATGACCGAGAGGGAAAGAAAATATTGTGGTCCAATAATATGGAAGTGGTCACGTGTTAAACTCATGACTCTCACTCGCGTGGCATACTAGAGTTAGAATACAGTTTTGAGGATGATTATACTTATATGGATTTACACACTAATGATCTACCAACCAAATATCCGTCTCGAGGTACCAGGTTACAAGGTGGATTCACACGGAGTGGACGTACACGAGGTGCACAAACACTCTGCTGCTGCTTCTCCTCCAGCTAAAATTTCAATGGTTTCCGAGCTGCAAAGAGCTTAAAATCAACCATTTCCTGTGTCTAAAGTCTTGTGCTTAGACTTGTTAAGTCTTTGTGAAAATAAACTCTAAATGCCACTACAATGATTTTATGAGACTCGGGTACACGAAACTGATGAGGATATAGTTAGGTAGCAGGACATAATTTTTCTTTTTTGATTAAAAAAAAAGACAACTCCCGCATTAGGAATATATCCTGTGTCGCGGGGGACTTTACAAACATGCATGAAACGGACACAAAGAACACCTAGACTCAGAACAACAATTTGTGGATCACACAAAGTGTCGTCCTATGTCAGGATCGGACCCACAACACTCGGCGTAGTAGTAAGCGGCGTGGCGATCGCGTAAACCACTACGCCATCCATGCAGATACCGCGAAGATACACTGTTTCCTTATGAATAATGTTGTTATTTCTTTTTGATAATAACCTACGAATAATTTGTATAAATTCAATACATTTTGGATCATTTTAATAACTTGAAGAATGTGTTATTGTTTTTATAAATAGATATACTCGTATGTAAATGTAAGTGCGACTGTTGTTCTTATGCCTTAATTAAGTGTCCAAAACTATATGAAAAAAAAAATATGTGAGTAATAATTACTGTTTTTATCGTTAATAAACAAATTGAACTTGTTGATTGCAGTGATTTTGTTTTTTAACAAGTTTTATTAGTTTGATGTATGGGTGTAACGTGATTTTGACCCACTTCAAAACTTCGAATTAAATTCAAACTTCACACACTTACCAAGGACCGATGACAATACAATTATTTGATAAATTCGGCCGGTTATCCTGATCAGGATCTTTAGGATTAACGGCTTTTTCCACACTTAAAAATACGACAGTGTCTTTTCCTACGTACTAAGAGGCGTGTGCTAAAGCATATGTGACTTACTTACTTGTTACTTTTTAGTCTTAATGTGAAAATATTCATCATTAATGACTAACAAAACAAAAAACATAGTTGAAAAAAAACTAAAATTCACGCTTTTGTAACCAGCCGAACTAAAAAGTAGTAAATAGTTTTCTATAAGTTCAAAAAGAAAAATAATTTTAGTGTAAAAAAGGCGTGTAATATACAGAGATCAATAAAATACATAAAATTATAAATATACCTATAAACACATATAATGTATACAGGATTATTCACAAATAAGCTCCACTACATTACATTATTTACATTATTACATTATATAGAGATAGCTACGTAATACTCTAGATATTAAAGCTTGTACTCGTTCCAATACAACCGTATTCATACAATGTACACAGCATCCACGAGTACATATTCCAAGTCGATCATTAGGGTGCGTTACCTTGGTGAAAAAGAATGCTACGGACACCGCTTCTTGGTAGTAACTGTTCTACGGCCTTCTAGCAGAATTACTGCTACTGGTCCACTGCTTTAAAGAAAAAGCGCTATCGTTTCATAAATAACACTCCGACTGCGAAACACTTTTGTGGGCAACTCGTCTTCCTCAAAGCTGTAGATCCAATTTCTTCAGTTGTAAGGATGTCGGATACAAAATTCTCCTTCGATTTTGTGTATAAATTTTCACCCATCAACACTCCTCAGATTTGTGCTAGTCGGTAAGAGAGTGAGGTAGCCAACGCAAGCTTAGGTAAGTTAGCAAGCAAGCTTCCTAACTTCAAGGTGTTCATGGAGGATGGTGGTAACTGCCTGTGCTCCAATCTTCAGTTCAGTTGTCCCGCAAAAGCTACTTTACTTTGATAAGATTTTCATTAGTTACTACAATTGTAGGTCGTCCATGTCTACGGCTGATATCGCCGCCGACGGGGCCGCGGGCCGCCAGAGAGTGGGGACCTCTGGTGGCAGATTGATTGCTGCGGTAGGGAATGGAATGGCCGGCCTGATTGCATTAAGATGCGATCGGGCCGCCATGCCGCGATTGAAGGGAGAAGTGTTCTCCCCTGGGATAGGGCCTGATTAGGCATGGTGTCAATTCGGGGAGGACCTGAAATAACATGGTCCGGGTCCTCCCCAGAGTAGGACACCTAAGGCCGGCCGTCGGGGTGGTTTTTAGTGGAATCACCACATACTCCTGGCTCCTGAGTCCCCGAGGAGCCGGAGATCCGAAGGGATTTTCCACCCCGTCAACAAAAAAAAAAAAAAAACAGGTCGTCCATGTCTGGGTTCGTCGTTTAGGTTCTCTCGACCACGTTTAAATTCACGAAATTTATAAGTAACTGTTGCTTACGCAGCTCCAGCTTGTACATTTTTGTGAGATTCCTTGAAGGAGAAGAGGATTTCGTACCTAATCATTAAAAATCATAGCATGAAAAGCTTTCTGCATGAAACCCATTGTGACAAACAAAAGAGTGACAGATTTACTTTTTTTAATTAAAAATATAGACACGTGATTTTGACCAATGATTTCATCAAAGACATTAGTATTGAACAGCCTCAGTGGCGCAGTGGTAGCGAGGCTGAGGTTGAGGTCTCGGGTTCGATTCCCTGGTCGGACCAAATGTTTGTATGATCCACAAATATTTGTTTCGGAATTTGGGTGTTTTCTATGTATAATATGTATGTAGGTATTAAATAAAAAAAGGGTATAAGTATTCTATCAGTCAATCTAGCTTTCATAGAAATCTAGCTTCCAAGCTCTACTTAGTTTGAAACTAGATGGCGTTGTGTGTCAGATGTCCAAATATTAAAAAGGAAAACGAAATAAGCCGTCAATTTAAAATAGATTCAGTTAAAAAAAGTGATATCGTAAAAGTGTTTTTACTCTGTAGCTAACAATTTTCAGAGCAACCAAGGTAAACATTACGAATGCGCTCATTCAAAATTACAGCGTTCTAGTACAGTCTCTAAGCTACGGCGCGAATGAACAGATGGACAGTCAGACGGACAAACGAAACTTTAATTTCCTGCTATCGGTGAATTGTATTGTGTAAATTGCAATACGATTTATATTTATAATATTAACAAATCGGCTCGTCACCAAATATCAGGATAATACAAAATAATGATTAATCGAATGATATTTTGTTGATTATTGAAAATCTAACAGACAAAATTCGGTTAGTCAGTCTGAAAAATAATTATAATTTCAAGATATTTTAACTTTTATTAGTAATGACAACAACACAGCTGATATTTGAACAACAGTGTAACAGTACTACACACTACCCATACCGCACTCAAATCGGGTGTTAATGTGGGTTCCTTAATTTATTTCGTGATAGAAGCCTTTTGGATACAATTAAATGGTTAAAATGGTCATTACGGAAGATTAACTGAACACACATGTTGAAGTTCTCTCGCAGTACCCACACCTAACAGCGTTGGGTAACGGATTTATTTAGCTTTCGATTACACCCTTTCAGTACTTCTTCGCTAAAATGTTTATAAGATAAACTCATATTGAATAATTTTAAAGATTTTTCTTTGGTCTGTTATTGCATTGCGCTATGCCACAATTATTTATCCTGGGTGGGAATCGAACCCAAAACCTCTTGACCAACATCCCGTATTTCATTATTAAAATCATTCACCAGAAATAGAAAATCTTTTACGG